AACTCTATGCTGTTGATTTTACCCGATATATGACGTCTATCCTTAATAAGGATTCCTTATATATAACGATGTCCTCACAATAACGAGAATACCTTTAGAATTATTGTTGATGTTGTTGTTTTATGTCACCCCATACTGGCTTGTCTATTATTGCACAACATGACTTGAGTAGCAAAGTCAACATAGAGTTGGATGCGTTGGATGCGGGTATCGAGACTAGAAGGCCTGTTGATATACCAATAGATCCCCCCCCGGTGTTAAGCTTTCTATTCGGACATTTTTCAATACCTGCACTCAGCTTTGACATGCTCACGCAACATAGACCGCTACGATTACAATCATCAGCCATGCATACCTACAGGCAGCCTTCTGGTAGTGCTACTTCAGGAAAGAATCTCACCATGGCCAGTTAAGAGGAATGATGTCTAGCTACGTTCTTGTCGGTAGTTCTAAACTGCAATTATGCAACCCGCTTCTCCCCATTCACCTGTTTTGTTTATTCTAGTCCTTAGCACATGTCGTGCTTGCCTCAAGGTAAGATTTTTCATAATCTCAATGCAACTATCGGTCAAGCTGACTAGGGCGATAGCAAGCATTATTGTTCTGAAGAATAGAACAGGAGACTATTGCCCTGTGTGTGGGCACCAGGTTTTCTCGGCCTAATCCACCTTACGTTATGGAGGTGCTCGCAAAGGAAGGAACACTTCTGTCGGGTTGGTTAGTGATCGCTGCACATAAGTTGGTATAGGCCCGCTCCTATCAAATCCTATCAGATGGTTTCACACATAGGGTCGTAGATATGCAGACCTAAGGGTATCTCGTTCCTCCGGTCTTTTCACAAGCTAATATCACCTTCATCATGAATGGTGGCTAATAATCACTCCACGAGTCGCAGGGGTCCCTCGAGAGAAGTAAACATTACCGCCTGAAACTCGCTGATGATAAACCCATAGGAGAGATCGTTGATCGCCTCTCGGTCAAGTTTCTTGGGAAGCTGTACGTGGAGACCTGCCGCATCACTGTGAGACATCCAGTAATATCACTGCTCTACAAATATAGTTGTAGAACAGGTGAATGGCTCTTGGTCACAATGTACCATTCGATAGCTTGTTACAATGCATGGGGGACTAGCTCAAATGGTAGAGCGCTCGCTTAGCAAGCGAGAGGCACCGGGATCGATGCCCGGGTTCTCCACATTTAATCAAGTTTTCTTGACGGTATGATCCCACGTAAGTGGGAGATCTTCACGCATTCTTTTTAAGTCACTGACGGTCACTGTTCTTTACGCACGGTTTCTCTTTTACGGGTCGCGTTGCCCGAACAGCATTTGCTGCCTTTCTGTAGTTTCATAAGTTTCTCATCGACTCTTGTTAATGTCATCTCCTAAGAACAATCAGAAGAGGCCGGATGAAGAGACCATTGCGGTTAAAGTAGAGAAGGAAAAGAAAGCTGATGATAAACCCATAGGAGAGAATTCTGAGGAAGACGGCGAAGATAAAAACAACAACAAGCCACTTGATGATGAGGATATTGACATTTTAAAGAGCTACGGCCTTGGACCCTATACCGGGCCGTGCAAGAGGGTAGTATAACCACT